AAATTGATGCAGAACTTTCGTTTTCATGTTGCAAGGGCGAATGGTCAAGTATGTGATTTCTCTGTGGCTGATTTTCCGTTGATGAACTTGTATGATCTTATACAAGTTGTATTGCTTTTGAAAGATAAAGATGCTTCGTATCTTCGAGAAACTGATCCAGAAGTTTTTCGTCTTGGTCTTGCTCACATCAAAATATTCATAGACAACTACTCTGAATGTTTAGCACTAACTGATGTGGAGTTGGCAACTGCGAAGGGATTGGAAGTGAAAGTTCCCATGGAACCAACGAAGCCCCACCTGAGTTAAAGAAGTATGCAGATGGGGAGATATGCTTGAAGCCATTTGGATTGGTCTTCGCAGGGAAGGATAAGAATGGGAAGGCCAAGAGATTTTTGTTCCAGGTCTGCGAAGTAGAGAGATATAATACGTCCCAGTATACGAACTTTATTGTTCGTATGAATAACTGCAAGAAGAATAATGAAGGGGACAAGAAATAGTTGAAGAAGATTATTTCCTGCTACTCAGAAATACGAAGGGTGATGCTATATGCTATACAGATTTTCACGAATTGAAGAAGGTTGACATTATTACAAAGGGGGAGATTGTAAGGGTCGAAGACCTGTTGTAATATGTCGAAGACTTAATGTTATTTTACAAGGCATTTTGTAACGAAGCTTAGATGTTTAGTCCTTGTAATTTTTTGTGTGCTTTCATGTTTCCAATATATAGGGACATTACTTAGAGATACAAGCAGGTCTGGGTATGAACTTGTAAACACTCTCTCTGTAAGAATTGAAAGCATAATAGAGCTGAAACCAGATTATTTTTACATCTCGTGTTCAAACTACATTTGTTTTACTCTGATTTGTTTCTTACTTGATTCATCACTTCATCATATTTTAGTAATAAATTGAAAGCAAGACTATAAGTGTGCAGTGATTCACATGTAATTCACATATGAATCACATGTAATTCACATGTAAATCACAAGTGAATCACATATGAATTACATGTGATTCACATGTAAATCACATGTAATTCACATATGAATAACATGTAATTCACATGTAAATCACATATTCATTACATGTGATTCACATGTAATTCACAAGTGAATCACATATGAATTAAATTTAAATAACATGTAATTCACATATGAATTACATGTGATTCACATGTAATTCACATATGATTCATTTGTGATTCACATGTAAATTACAAGTGAATCACATATGAATTACATGTGATTCACATGTAAATAACATGTAATTCACTTATGAATTACATGTGATTCACATGTAATTCACATATGATTCATTTATGATTCACATGTAAATTACAAGTGAATCACATTTGAATTACATGTGATTCACAAGTGAATCACATATGAATTATATGTGATTCACATGTAAATCACATGTAATTTACATATTAATCACATGTAATTCACATGTAAATCACAAGTGAATCGCATATCAATTACATGTGATTCACATGTAAATCACAAGTGAATAGCATATGATTACATGTGATTCACATGCAAATCACAAGTGAATCACATATGAATTGCGTCTATATGCACAAATGCATTTTCTGCGATGTTCTTCCTTAATTATTTTTTAAAATTTTCTTGTGAATTTCACATTTGAATCTTAAAAGATACAATCACATGTGAATATTACATTATATAATCACATGTGAATCTTACATGATATAATTACATGTGAATCTTACATGATATATACATGTGCATTTTTGTTAGTGTTCTTGCATTAATCATTTTTTTTAATTTTCTTGTAGATTTTGAAGAATTTATGGAAAATATTGAAGAGGTGAAAAGTGATAAATTGAAGATAATATGGAAATCTTGATATGAAGAAATGATAACACTATGAATCTTTGTAATTTTTTTTTTATATTTTATTTGTATCGAATAAAATACTTGTAGTATTATGTTTATAGATTGATTAATGAAAATGAGATTTTTTTATGTTTTACTTACGAATATTATAGTATAAGAAATATGCATATATGCACTTGAAAAAATATGCATATATGCACCAAAAACATTGATTTTTTTGTTAAAAAAATTAGAGTTTTTTGTTTTAAATATTCTAGTTTTTTTTTTAATTTACTGATTTTTAAAATTTCCATTTTAAAAAAATGCAGTTTTTTTTTAAATGCAGTTTTTTTTAAAAAGTGCAGTTTTTTTGAAAAAAAAATGCAGTTTTTTTTTTAAAAAATTGCAGTTTTCTTTTGAAAAAATTACAATTTTCTTAAATTTTTTATTTTTCAATTTTTTAAAAAAATTCATGTTTTCTGAAAAAAAAAATTAAAAATCCATTTTTTTTTTAAAAAATCGAAAATTATTTAAAAAAAATTATGAAATTTGATTTATTATGTTAATTTTTAAAACTTTTTATTAATATTTCCAATAACAAAAAAAATTAAACATTAAATGAGATCGGTAAGATGACGATCATGCCCTTAATGAGTTAGTTTTGATCTAACGCTCCACTTTTAGTTCTCAGGTTCTCGGAAAACTACGAGTTCTCAACGGATTTCACCCTATATATATATATATATATATATATATATATATATATATATATATATATATATATATATATATGGAGAGAGAGAGAGAGAGAGAGAGAGACAGATAGAGAGAGGTGAAGTTCAATAGATAACCAATATAGGTGAAGGAACCAAGGAACCTATTAAGATGGTTGGATCAAAGAAATAATAACCATTGGATTTGAGTTGTAAAAGTGTGAAAAAAATATTGTATAGCTGATTATAACAAAACATGAAACTTAAGGGGGCATTTTTGTAAAGCTGAAACTAATAAACGATCAAGGAGAATTAACGTCGTCCATGTTCAACAATATCATCTCAGTGAAATCGATTTTACCCTCTCATTGAAAGCGATCTTTTACTTCACTGACGATCATTAATTTCAACGCATCGTCGACGACGATTCAGTCCATATCAACCGTGAATCTTGTCGGAAACTTTGTAAAAATGAATCTAGAAGGTATATTCGACTTCTATTCATTTCCGATTATCTCATTTAATTCATTTTAAACATGAAATTTTCCGATTTATAAATTTCAAAACCTAAATCTAAACTATCAGTTACATTATGTATTCGATGAATCTGTGAATAAGATTTTATTAACAAAAACGTTTTACACTAATTTGAAACCCTCGGATGATGAAATTTTGTGAATTTGTATAAATACCGAAAACCTAGTGATTTAAATTTCTTCAAATCGATAAAGAATGAATATCTAAATTGCAAACCGTAATTCCCTTAAACTTCGTGAATCTAACTAGTTTATGAGTTTATTCATTAAATCGAAACCCTAATTTAATGAACTTTTGATAATTTTTATAAATATCAAAAACCTAATGATTTAAATATCTCCAAATGGATACAGATTTCATGAATATCTAAATTACAAACTGTAGTTTCCTAAAACTTTGTGAATCTAACTCGATTATAAGTTTATTCATTAAATTGAAAAACTAATTTCACATTGTGAATTTCTAAAAATTCAATGTTTGTGAGTATAACATTTTCTTACAATTCACAAAGTGAAACAGGATTACAGATCAATTTAACATATCATTAATTCACATTGTGAATTCACAGTGTGCTTTATGATTTACATGTGTTTCTTACATCATATGCAAATTCACATTGTGCATATTTTTCTTAATTGATCTTGTCTCGCTTATTCTGCTTCACATTGTGAATTTATAAAGAGCTGCATTGGAAATGTTTTGATTCACAATGTAATTTACAATGTGAATCAATGTTATATTAAAGTGATCTGTAATACTGATTCACATTGTGAATTATATGTATAAATCATAACTTTCATATCATGAAACTCATGTTTGACTTGCTTTGTTAATAAAAACAGAGAATAAAGAAAAGAAGAATGAAAAAAATAATAATAAAAAAATAATGAAATTGACAAAAAAATGTGAAAGATGTTCAACCTTCAACTACAAGTGAAAAAAGTGAAGATATCCAATATAAAAAAACATGTGAGAACATTCACATTGAGATTCACTTGCTGAACCTTGACCTGTTTTGGTATGAAATGATAAAATTCACATAGTGAATCTTCAAGGTATCTCACAGTCTCAAAGATGCATAATGTGAATTTTCTAAAAAACTTTTTGCAATTTTCTTATCCGTTTCACTTGATTTCACTATGAACACAATGCATGAAAAGATTCACCATGTATATGTGTACATCACATGGTGAGCCTTCAGATTCACATTGTGAATCTTCGATGTATCTCACAGCCAATGTGAATTTTCCAAAAAGGTTTTGCAATATGCTTATCCATTTCAATTAATTTCACTATGGATAAAATGCATGAAAAGATTCACCATGTGTATGTGTACATCACATTCTGAGCCTTGACCTGTTTTGGTATGAAATGCAAAGATTCGTATTGTGAATCTTCGATGTATCTCACAGTCTCAAAGATTCACAATGTGAATTTTGTAAAATGTTTTTGCAATTTGCTTATCCATTTCACTTAATTTCACTATGGACACAATGCATAAAAAGATTCACCATGTGTATGTGTACATCACACAGTGATCCCTGACCTGTTTTGGTATGAAATGCAATGATTCACATTGTGAATCTTCGATGTATTCATAGTTTCAAAGATTCATATTATGAATTTTCTGAAAATGTTTTGCAATTTGCTTATCCCTTTCACTTGATTTCACTATGGACACAATGCATGAAAAGATTCACCATGTGTATGTGTACATCACATGGTGAGACTTGACCTGTTTTGGTATGAAATGCAAAGATTCAGATTGTGACTCTTCGATGTATCTCATAGTCTAAAAAATTCACAATGTGAATTTTCTAAAACATTTTTGCAATTTGCTTTTCAATTGCACTTAATTTCACTATGGACACAATGCACGAAAAGATTCACCATGTGTATGTGTACATCACATGGTGAGCCTTGACCTGTTTTGGTATGAAATGAAAAGATTCACATTTCACAGTCTCACAGATTTACAATGTGAATTTTCTAAAAATGTTTTGCAATTTGCTTATCACATGTTGAATTTTATATTTTTAGACATGTTTTGGTATGAAATTAAAATCCATAGTGTGAATCTTTAATGTATTTCATAATATTATTTATATTTTCTTGACATTTACTATAAAAATTTCACAATGTGTAGTTGAAGGTTCAAAAAAATATACCAAAAACATCGCAAGGAGAACCGTGGAGAAAATTGTTAAGAAATTAAGAAAAACTGAAGATGAAAAGACTCATGATGAAAACATCGAAAAAGGAAAAACTTTAGTTAGTGAGAAGATTCAAAAAAAGCAAACAAAAAAGTTGATGAAGCAAGATGAACCTGTTTTGAAGACACCTGAAAAGAAAACAATACAAGGTTTGTATTTATAAAATTATCATTTACTTTAATATTATAAAATCAATTCTCATTAATTTTGTTTTTTTAAATGAACAGAAATGAGACAGAGACCAATACCTCAAAATAAGCAAACAAAAAAGTTGATGAAGCAAGATAAATTTGTTTTGAAGACACCTGGAAAGAAAACAACACAAGGTTAGTATTTATAAAATTATAATTTACTTTAATATGATAAAATCAGTTCTCATTAATTTTGTTTTTTAGAAAATAAACATAAATCAGACAGGGTCCAAGACATAAAATGATTGAATACTCAAAATTTGTGACTCCTATTAACTTTGATGATAGCCTTCTAAAGAAAGAATGTGACAAAAAAGCAACAAGTTTGTTTATTACTATTCACATGTTTAATTTACAAAGTTATTAACAAATTCACATATTTATTTTATGTATTATATTATATTTTGCAAAAAAAAACTTTGTGAATGATCTTTTATTTAATAACAAACTTTTTTAAAAATTTCACATGTGAATTTGTTGTATTGTTAATTATTTTATAGTATATGTTATAGTGTGGGAAGCTTATAGAAGTTAATGACTAACATGTAAAAGAAAAAGAAAAACAAATGATACAAAGATACAAAATCAGATTGTCAAGAAAAAGACTATTGAAGTAGTCAAAGAAAAAAAAAGTTAAAAGTGCCAATAAATCCAAATGAAATAGTATCTTTGAGAACAAGAATGAGCCCAAAGAAGTTTTATGATATGGTTAAATATTTAAACAAAGAACATAAAAAAGTTGTCAGAGAAATGAGATGTGGATCTTTGCTGAGAATTACAGCCAACATAATTTCTGGGAAAATGGCACATTTTGTTGTTAGCTCATTCAATCCAGCAGATATGAAAATGCATCTACCAAATGGAAACATAGATGTAACACCAACTCTTGTTCATGATTAGATCGAAATTCTTCTTGGTGGAAAAGATATATACAACAGTGATCAATGTGAAGGAAAAGAATTAATGGATTGGAAGCAACAATACAATTTGAAAGCTATGAGACCATCCGATGTTGAAGAGAGGATTAAAGAATCCTCAAATTTGGGGATTATGTTTAGAAAAAACTTTCTTATATTGTTTCTTAATACAATCTATGAACAAAATAAGCCTGAAACTTGCAAAATAATAGTATTGCCAAATTTGTTCGGCAAAAACACCAAGTAGATAAATGGATTGGTGTTGATTTAAAAACAAGTGTTTGAAAATGTCAAAGACAATGTGGGATGAAACGGATAGAGGAAACTACTACTGTGGGCCACTTCTTGTTTTATTGGTAAGGAAAATTCTTGTAATTAACACTTTTATTTATATTATTATAAGAAAACTAATTAATGATATTTTTGTTTACATAAACAACTAGCTTAATTGGAGTTTATGAGAAATGATAAGAATGAAAAAAGACAAATACATGCAATACATTTTTGGGATTATGACATGATGGTCAAAAGGGAAAAAGTTGAGGTAAAGAGTGGTGGCTTTGGAACCTTGGAATGGAATGAAGATGTTATAGATATTGATGAAGAATCTGACACCGATGAAAATGAAGATATGAAACTCGATGTAAGTTCATAATTTATATATTTAATAAAATTTTCATTTTACTATTTTTTATAATTAACATTATGAATGTTGTATATATGAACATGAATATGGTCTAAGAAAAATTACATTTGAATAATATTGATATATGTTATAAAATTATATGCATTCAAAATGTGAATATAAAATGCATTCACATTGAGAATCTTTTATGAATTATAGATATATAATATAAAATACATTCACATTTTGCACTATTTAATTTTGTAGTTGTTGATATTACATATATACAATGTTAAATTGTGTTTAAGATGCATTCACAATGTCATTCACATTGCGAATATAATAGTATATTTTATTATTTTTGATGAAATAAATTCACTGAGTGAATATCTAATGTATTAAAATTCATTCACATTGTGAATCTATAATGAATTATATAAAAAATTTAAGACATTCATCGTCATTAACATTTTTTTTATTTCATATTGTGGAAATTGGTATTCAAAGTGAAAAAGAATTATAAAAAACTGGTGAATGATAAAATGAAGTTTAGAAAGCTAATTGAGTTTTTAACAACAAAAATTCACAGAATGCGATGAATTGAAAGAAATGAAGCAAGTTTTTGAAAAAGAATTCAATTATAAAAGTAAAAAAGAAGATGAAACAAATGTGATGAATGAAAATGAAGAAAAACATGATGGGAATGAATCTGAGAAAGATAAAGATGTGAATGAATCTGAAATACCTGAAGATGGAAAATGGATGAAAATGAGGTGGATAGGAATAAGGGTGATGTACAAAATATACCAGCAAACAAAATAAAAAATCAACCACTTACAATAATGCTAACACCGTGACATTGTATAATGATCTAAAAGTCCATGAGATTGCAGATTGTGCTCAATGTATTTTAAATTTTGATGATGATGATGATTTTGTTAATGTAGAAAGAGTTACAGAACGAAAAAATAAGAACACAATAATAGATGATAAAAAAATACTAAAAAATCATCAATGCCTAATTTTTCACTTGGACTTGCTCTTGGTCTAACACAAGAGTTTCAGGAAGGAGATGAAAAAATTGATGAGGAAGGATGTTATGATTCAAAAGCAACAGGAGATGACAACAATATCTTGGGAATTAAAGATGATGAAGAGGGAAGAAGAGATGTAGGAAAATGGTTTAAAAAACCATCAATGTATGCATCTTCTCCTTATAATCAAAAAAAGGTTTGTGCATCGAAATTTGTAGATCCGGATGAAGTAAAAGTAATAGATAGAATATTTTTCAAGATTGGTAATAGCATGTAATAATTCATATTTTTTTTTTAAATACAATAGTATAAATACAAATATAAATTAATTTTCTATTAACTTTTTTTTGTTTTATATGATTACAAATTAAGTGAGAAGGTATTTCAAAGTAAGAGAGGTTATGTGCTTGGAAGAGGAATGATTGAAACCATGCAAGCAGGATTATAGGTACATGCACATGTCATTGATGCTTGGATTGATGTTTTGAACTATGAAGAAAAAAATAAATTAAACTTTACACCGAAGCGGTATTTCTCTGATACATCAGTGGTGGTAAGTAAATTACAAAATATATATCACTATAAATGTTAAATGTTTATTGATTTTAAATTTATATAGACATTAATGAATTGAAAATGTTAAACATATAATAAGTTATAAAATTCACATAGTGAATTTTATAAATTTAAAATATACCTTATTGTGAATATATTACATCTTTTCAACAGTTCTGAATAAGTTATAAATTTCACACAATGAATCCTATTATGATTCAAAGTGCGAATAATTATAAATTTAAAATGTATCTTATTGTGAATTTAACAATTTAGTTCTTAAAGTTTGATGTATATTTATATTTTTTGCAGAGACAGATCATATATGACAAAAAAAATCATTTCATTGAAATATCTGACAAATTTGAGTAGAATATCAAAGATGCAATGAAAAAAGACAAAGAACTTCTGACATTCAAAAATGTTCAGTTGGTAATAAAATTGTTCTTTTCATTAAAACAAATGATATTGAATATATTACATCTTTTCAACAAAGTTTTACAATTTAAAATATTAAAACAGGTCTTTTTCCCGGTTAATAAAAAAAATCACTTTTACCTAATCTAGAAAAACCTAGAGGAACCAACATTTGATGTAATTGACAACATGAATTTAGTTGCAAATTTTTCAAGAGCTTATCGTGATGCACTTGATGAATTGGTAAGAATAGTAAATTTACATTCTAAATTTTAATATAAATATTAATAGACTCGTAATTTGAATAAAATAATAATTATAGTAAATGACAATTTCTTTTTTTTTTGCAGAAACTACTACTTAGTAGCTACGTGATGAGTGTCAACCACAAGTCAACTTTAAATTTGGAGGGTGTTCAACCATAAAGGGTGAAAATAAATTGGCACAGAAGGGATAGTCATATTGGTTGTGGAGTTTTTTGCATGCATCATATGGAGACATATATAGGAGATAAAACAGTAAACTTGAACCGTGGGTTGCCAAAAGAATAAAAAAACAACAGTATGTGTTAAATAATTTAAAAGTTAAGTATCTGACAAAGATCTGGTTGACTGACACAAACACATTGCGGTCAAAAATCATTGCACAAACATAGAAGTTTGCAAAAAAACCTAATGAAGAAATACAAGATCTGTTAAAAAAGGGATGGGAAAAAAGGGAGAAAGAATATAGTACTTAAAGGATTGGAAAAAGAAGTATAAAACTTAGATTTCTATTAAATGTGATAATATGTTGTTTTGAAAAATAACATTGATGATGTTATGTTTGGTATATTTCATATGCACTTTAGTTTCTTTTAAAGAACATATAAATGCTTGTTATGTTGGATTTTCATGTGAATGTCTTTATCTAATATAATGATACTCTTTAATCATACTTATAATATGTTTACACTTTCATGTGAATGTATATTGTTGTGAGTATCTTTCTTCATCTATTTGGTGATTTGTTTAGCTTAAAATGATCATTTGCAAGTTACATTTAATTTTTTACTACACATTGAAACATAGTGTTCACAAGAAAATGTAAATTCACATGGTGAACTGTTGAGGTAGTTCATAGTCACACAGATTCACATTGTGAATTTCTACATTTGTTTCACTATTCACACACACAACATAAAAGATTAACCATGTCAATCTATACAAAAAAACTAATAATAAAACAAAATATCTTTAACCAAAAATTCAAAATTAACTCTATTATTAGAAATAATGAATATCAAAATTAACATGAATATTTCAACATTTCTATGCACTGAATGATCATTACAAAAATCAAATCTTATTTTACTAGTCGTAAAAAAAATTAGAAACAATGAGCCTTCTATAACCTCAAATTCTAATTAGACTTCTGTAACCTCATAATGCAACTCATAGCATTGTGATTCAGTTTATGACATAAACTACCTGGTACCCCCTTTTAGATGTCTCAATTGCTTTCTCTCTAGTGCTCTTGATTCTTTTACCACTCGCCCATCCCTTGATTCTAATCCCCACTAGATTACGAATGTTGATAACATTAGGTACTGCAGCACCAATAATTTTTTCAATGTGAACCGATCTACTCGAAGATGCCCTTGATGAGGTACATAAAGGAATACCACTATCAACCTCCTGAAGCTGCTTTATATATTTAGACAACTCATCCTCATTAGTTATCTTGTTAATGGACAAACAAAGAATAACATACGCATCTTGAATCAAGCATTCATTTTTACTGCCTTTATGAGAATACAGGTACTTCTTTTTCAACAATCCATCAACTATGATATCTTTTCCTATGACATCCCCAAATTCACGGTCATTTTAAAAATTTTATTTATTCTTATTTAAAAATCAGAGTATCCATTTACAGAATAATATCGCGGAATTTGTTCCCAGAAAACATGATAAAGATATTATCAAAGCATTTCCGAATAAATGTATTTTGTTTATATTAAAACATTGGGATGTCTTCGTCAATACAAAAACATAATCATAAACAGACCTTACATTCATTTACACTAATGATTTACATCTCCTTTAATCTCTCAGTGTAATATATCTCCGTATCGACACCTCTGATACAAATAAACTGAGTGGGTCAGGTTGGGAAACCTGGTGAGTACATAGGGATTTCAATCCCACAATGCTATATCATATATAAATATATATATATATATATATATATATATATATATATATATATATATATAATAGAACTCACAATATATACAATTTCACCTCATATAAGCAATTTTTACCCCACCCCGTTGATCCCCACAATGACACGATCCATACTCTCGGATCTAAAATTATCAAATTTACCTAATCCATACTCCCGGATCACGTTTGTCTAATCCACGCTCTCGGATCAATGACAATTGACTATGTCCACTTCATACTCTCGGACTAGGGACGAATGACTATGTCTAATCCATACTCTCGGATTAGTGACAAATTTTAAAGTTCTACCTTCCGTGTATATCTCACCCGTACTCATAAGAATATACTACCTGATATTCTTCTTAATTAATTTAGGTTTATTCTGTATCCTAAATCATCATATATTATCAGATATCCTCTTAACACGTATTTAAGGCAATATAAAATATTTCACACATAAACATATATGTAATACTTTAATTAATACTTGTATTAAAATCATGTTCATGAAAGGGCTATGCACTCACTTGTTAAAGTGATAACTCGAAACTCGAACAGCGCTTCGCTTCTAACAATTTTCTTTTCCTTCGACGAAACCTAGTATCATAATTACTAGATTTAATCTAATATTTATTGTGACTAATTATTAGTCTAGATTTATCATTAAGACAAAGTCTACTTTCATGATCTATCAAGTAAGGAACAACCAGGTAGGATCATATCGGAGGTAGGGTCTGTTTGGTATACGAAGTATACTTTTTAGAAATCCCACTTTAAACACCTCACTAAATCACAGCCTTCACATCATCAACGTATGTAGATCAATCAGTATAATGACTTGGAATCACTGATAAATCTTGTTTATAGGTTCATAATAACGATAATGAACTTAAACATAAGGTATACTTAAAGTAGGGTAAGCATAACTCACTTACAAGGGGGGTTTAGCGAGGAATCGGGTCCTGCGCAGGCAAAACTTATGAGCCGAAAGTTCTTCTTCTCGGAGCCTTTTGGCACTCCGGGACTCGCTTCTAACACTTAGGAAGTGCTATGGAAAAATTTAGAAGGGTTGGGGTGTTTGGGAGAGAAGGTTTGAGAAAGTTGTGAAGAGATTTGTGGAAAACGCCTCTATTTATAGGTTGAGGATTGCGTGTACGCGGGGCGTACGAAGCCCTACACTGGGTGTACGCCGGCCACGTGTCGAGATCTGGTGCGAAGCTGTGGAGAGGAAGTAACGGTTGGGATTTAGCCACGTATCACCTCCGATGTTTTATTAAGAAAAATAATTATTTTCTAAAATCTATAACTTTCACATACGAGCTTCGTTTCTGACATTCTTTATATCCACGCGTAGGTAGCAACGTGATCTACAACTTTCGTTTTGCCTCCGTTGGCTAATTTTGAATTTATTTTTAAAGTTATATTTTAACAGACTTAGACAGTTAAAGCCCGTTAAAAATTCATAACTTTGTCATCCGACATCCGTTTTTGACTGACTTTATATTGTTGAGCTCCTATTAATCAGATCTTCAATTCTCGTTTAGGTTGTGTCGGATAATAATTGATTGATCTAAAATTCGATTTCCGGGCTACATACTGTTATGCTAAATCTTAGAAAAATAAAAATTTCTTCAAACGAAGTAAGATTTGGACATTCTCTATATGCACGCTCTCGGTTTAACATATACTACAACTTTCGTTTAGATCGCTAATTCTAAAAAGTAGTTTATCAAAAATTCAATTTTTACGATACGCGGCGTCGTGTCGGTTTTGTCGCAAAACTTCGATCGGTCATAACTTCTTCGTTATAAGTCAGATTTCAGCGTTCTTTATATGTACGAAATCCTTGTGACATATAATATACCTTGGTTAAGATTGTATACTCTAAATAATCTTCTATCAAAAAGTCATTTTTGACGGTTATTGTAACGCTCGGAATCCTGGTATGTATTTTAAATAAAAGTCATTTATGTTTATGAAGGAACTCGACGAGTTGGGGGCACTAATCGTTGAGTCGGATGGGTTTTGGACGTGAGGCTTAAGTCATACACTCATCGAGTCGGGATCCTCGACTCGACGAGTAGATCTGTCCGGGTGAAACCCTAATTTTAGAGTTTGCACCATATTTAAACGCATTAACTCGCCTCCAATGCAGCCCCCATCGTCTCCCTTGGTCCAGAACGCCCTAACTTGTGTCCGTTGAGCTTTTTTGAGTGTGTGAGTCATTTGTGAGAGTGTTTGTGTGATTTTGAAGCTAGAGGAAGAAGAAGAAGGAGCTAGAAGGTTCAAGGAAGCAGTAGATCCAAGGTTCAAGCTACATTTCCAGTCACTTAAAGGTATAAAGTTGCTTCCTTGACTTTCCTATTGATTGATCTCTCCATGTTTGAGTTTAGGGTCATCTTTAAGAAAATTTGTGAACATTTTTGAGTATGAAGTGTGATCTGAAGTTGTAACTTCAGATCCAGATCCCTTTCAGCCCCTATAGCCATAAAGTTCACGAATTTGTTATGCTTTAACCCTTCCCTTTGGCCTAGACTTCATTTTACGCTTGGAAATGGTGTTTTTGGCTCATAACACCTTGCATGCACGTAAAGTTCATAATTTTACGTGTAATATCGACCCTAGGAGGTCAGATCTACGTCTTGAATGCGTTAAGCCCGACTGAACTCGACTGCATGGATTTTGACTTTGGGGGGGGGGGGGGGGACTTGGCCAGTCATTCATAGGACTCGGCGAGTTAGGTTATGGTTCCCCAACCTTTTCTGTTTTGGAGCAATCTGGTTGAGTCTAGAAGAGGAATCAACAAGATGGACGTGAATATGGACTTGAAGATCAAAGAACTCTACGAGTTCAAGGCAATGTCCCAACTTATATGAAGAAGAACTCGATGAGTTCAAGGAAGAACTCGGCAAGTCAAGGACTAAACACTTCAGCTTGTATGAAGAAGGACTTGACGAGTTCATGGTAGAACTCGGCGAGTCAAGATCAAAAAGGTCCCGATTCTGTATAAAAGAGAACTCGACGAATTCTTGAAAGACTCGACGAATAGGATCGAAGTTCCAGTATTTTGTGGATTATGGAACTGGACGAGTTGGTGGACCAACTCGGTGAGTTGAGTCAACCAGATGTTGACTTTGACCAAAAGTTGACTTTGAACAGGGTGTTGACCTTGGCTTTGACTCTGGCCTGAGTTAACCATTGAAAGGGTTAAGAGTATG